GAGACATTTGCGAGGCGTCATCATATTCGGCTCATCAATATCGACTACGGTGCCGAACCGGAGGACTAGAACCTGTGGTGGGCCATTGAATACGAAGAACTCGCCGGAATCTTCTGGAATATGGTAGAGAACCCACCACTCTGCTTGCCAGGCAGCTGGGTGGAGGAGGATGTTCTGTGGCATCAAGACTGTTGGATTGGCAGCGCAGGAGACTTGTTTATGTGGGCCGGGACATTCGTTGAGCCCCAGTAGATAAGATGTAATCGAACCTATCTACACACCTTCTCGCGAATCCGTGTCCTCTCCAGCCTGTAGCCACCCGACGCCTCTAGTCTTCGTCTCGTTGTGGAAGTTGACATCGCAGTGTTATAGTTGGTACATCATGTGCAAGGACATGGCGTCTGCTGTGCTCTTCGGGATTTGCTTACAGGCCGAAAGCTTTGATGCGCTGCTTCACGAACTTCCGGACATGCGTCGCGAACTTAGAACCCACGGGCAAGTCCTTGGCGTACGAAGCTTCATTCGTGATCCTCTTAAATGTGTTGGCCACGAGCCAATGTTCATGAATCTGACCCAAGCTCGTCTTCGTACTCGTCGTCCAAGGTAGGCACATCCACGAGGAATTGCGCATCATCAAGCTCCTCACCGTCGGCGAGGAATGCAAATGCTACAGGGATATTATCCTTCAAACCTTTGCTAACAGGCTTGTCATCGTCGTCAATCCGTAGTACCTTCCATCCTTGACTGAGGTCGTTGACATTGTTCGGTAGACCGTACACTATTCGGACGTCATCCGACGTTGGCACGGGGGTGACATCGGTCAATGTCGGCGAGATTTTGAGACCGTCCGGGAAGCGCTCGCGCAACACCTCGAGCAGAGATTTGTTGATGGCGGAGAAGGACTGCAGGCTGTCGACGAAGAGGAGGATTGTGTGAACGCCGTACTTGAAGCGGATAGAGTAGTCCGTAGCATCTACCTGCGACTGGGCACTTCAGTGTGGAGATCGAGTAGGTAATTGCGCGGATTTCTTACCATTCTTGCGACCTTGACCAAGGGTCTCTCAGACTTGTCGAATGGGTTCAGATAACGGGCAGCTGCGGATGTGAAGGAAGGAACGAAGGTGGGAGTCGTTTGTTGTGGGGCAGGTTCCTCAGATCACGACGCGAGACGGACTGGTACTCACACTTCGCGCAGTAAATGCGAAGTCAGTGATCTCGCGTAACGTGTTCCCGAGAGCTTTCAATCCTCAGGCTGTCGCATCGTCCACCACTTGCCTGCGATGACTGGAGTGTGATATCGAGTTATCCCCCCCCTTTTCATGTCAACACAGTCATGAGATTTTCCTCTACGAAAGGCTCGAGATAGCGCAAAAACGATCTTCGCGAAATCTTCCTCGCGACAGGCGCAAAGACAGCTAAATTGCCCCCCATCATGGCCGTCCACGAACCGTCCATGGCGGAGGCGCTCAACCTTGCCCAGCCCGCCGCTGAGTCCCGATTGTCCATGCCGACACCGATTCGGATTCCCGTCTCTGGCTTCGTCGGCTTCAGCATTGGCTCTACATTGGGTCTGATTCACGGCAGTCGCATCGCCCAGTTACAGTTTCGCGCCGAACACGCCCATAAGATGCCAACCTCCACGACAGGATGGTACCTGTACCACAAGAGCAAAAACTATCACACCATGTTTGGCGGTATGCGCGAGGCCATTCGCATGGGTTCCCGTCTTGGATTCTGGACACTGTTGGCATTTGGCCTGGAGAGCACCGTGGACCGCTATCGTGGAAAGACGGATTTCCTGAGCACTGTGCTCTCTAGTGTGTCCGTAGCTGGTGCTTTCAGTCTGTGGAGTGAGTTGCTGTTATAATACGCTAGTGTTTCGCGACGAGATGGGAGAATCCTAACTAAAACCTTCGCAGACCGCTTCTCGCTACCTACGGCCGCTAGGACAGCCAAGTACGGCCTCCTTTTTGGCCTTGCCTACGGAGGTATGCAAGACGTCGTTGGCTTGGCCCGCGGCAGGCCCGTTAGTTACGTCGAGTTCTTCCGCCGAAAATTCCGGTCGGCCAGCAACTTGGAGGAACAACGCCAGGTGTAGGACGCCATAACAGAGCCTAAAGAATTTACTCCGCCATTGAGCATGGTCGAGTGGTGCAGCGTCAGCCGTTATCAGATGCGTCAACCCCGCGCCGGTACTCGTCACACGACTTGCCGCTTTCGGATCTGGCGCCTAGCAGCCGGACCACAACATCAATGCATCGCCAGGTGAGGTGTCTGGCCCTCGCATCATCGAAAATCGGATAGCGATCCCGACCCATCCACGATGCTTTATCTATCATTGGGGCACTTTTCCGGTCGGGGACGCCCTCCGGTGCCGTCATGTCCGACACGTCTGCCCTGACGGCTGAATCCCCGCCCACGTGACGGTTGATAAGGCGAACCTCCGCACCGGGGGATCGGACTCTCAAGGCCGCAACCAATGGGCGGTATCGACTACGCTTGATTGCCCATTCCGGATATTTGGAGACGGCCTGTTATCACAGTGTCGGATCAGTTCGCGATTGGGGGGGGCGGAGTGCCGCACCCGCCCTGGCAAACCTGACGATAGCTCAGAGGAACGACGGACATAAAGGGCTGGCGCCCAACTTTGTCGCCTGCAGTCCTGGTTGCGCGCGGAGTGTTCAAGAAACGCTGTACATCTCATCATATCTGTAGACAGTTCATTCAGAGTTTGGTGGATGCATAGCCCACGCTCATCCACCAGCCCATCCATCCATCTCGTCGATGACTCGTCGTTGTCTTGACCAACTTTATCACTCGGGTTCCCTCGTCATTGCTTCGCTACCATCACAGTAGCCGCCATGCTCCTCTCTTTTCGCCCAGCGAGGTTGTCCAGATCCAAGTGGACACGGCCAGGAACCAGCGGAAGTATATCTCACTATGCAGCGACGAGAAGAAGCCGTTTAGTCGATTCCCATCATGATGCGTCTCTCATTCACACCTCATCGAAGAACTCGTACCACCCAAAAGTCCACCTCCACCCCGCCGCTCCTCCCGCCAACCCTGTCGCTGTCACCCCAGCGCCCGCTCACAAAGCCCCACTGTCTCTCCTCCCCCTTCACATGATCCTCCGCTCCCTGCTCACGACTACGATATCGTCCTCCCGCTGGCTGCTGCCGCCCTCGCTGGCCATCGCCTCGGCCCTCGCGCACGCGACGCACCCGCTGCTCAGCCCGGACCGCAACCCCCTGCTCCGCGTCCTGGTGAAGCATACGTTCTACGCCCAGTTTTGCGCGGGCGAGTCACCGGCCGAGGTACGCCGCACCGTATCTCGCCTCAAGGGGCTGGGGTTCTCCGGCGTCATCCTGGGCTACGCGCGCGAGGTCGTTATGACGGAGGCGCAAACAAGAGGCCTCAGCGGCGCCAGCGAGACGAGCAGTCGCAGTGACGAGGAGGAAGTGAGGCCCTGGCAGGAGGGGACGGAACAAACGGTGAGGCTCGCCGAGGCGGGCGACTTTGTGGCACTCAAGTAAGCTTTTTCATTTGTCTACATATCTGCGCGAGCCCGCGAGCCCACGAGCCCACCATTCAGCAGCAGCAGCAGCAGCAACGGACTGACCGAGTCAGATTCACCGGTGCCGGCCAGCAAGCCCTCTACGCCCTCGCCGAGAGACTCCCGCCCTCGGCGGCCTTAGCCTCGGCCATGGACAGCATCTGCGCCTGCGCCGCAGCTCGGGGCGTCCGTCTCCTCTTCGACGCCGAGCAGGCCGCCGTTCAGCAGGGCATCGACGACTGGACCTTGACGTACCAGCGCAAGTACAACACTGTGCCTGGGAGGGCTGTCATTTACGGCACGTACCAGGCGTACCTCAAGTCGACGCCAGCGACGCTAACGCGGCACCTGCTGACTGCACAGGAGCAAGGGTTCACATTGGGCGTGAAGCTCGTGCGCGGTGCGTATCTGGGTTCAGACCCGCGACACCTGATCAATGACACAAAGGACGAGACGGACACGGCCTATAATGACATGGCTGAGTGGATGCTACGGCAGCAGTGGGGAGGCCGTCTGAGAGGGGCCAACGGCCCATTTCCTCCAGTAAGTCTCGTCGTTGCGTCGCACAATGTTGATTCGGTGCGGCGGGCGCGGGCCTTGGTCGAAGCGGGCCAGGCGCGAATCGAGGTCGCATTTGGACAGCTACAGGGCATGGCGGACGAAGTGAGCTGCGCGCTGGTGATGGCGGCGAATGACCGTGTCTCAGCAGGCAAAATCTCGGAGCCGAAGAAGGCCTTGGAGACTTATAAGTACTTGGTCTGGGGTTCTACTGGGGAGTGCATGAAATATCTCTTGAGGCGGGCCCACGAGAACCGAGACGCTGTGCAGAGGACGCGAACTGGACGGGACGCCATGTGGGCCGAGATCGCGAGGCGTGCGAGAAGTGCTGTGGGTCTGGAGACGTGACAGAAAACTGAGGATGCAGTTGAGGAAGAGAAAGCGTTGGCTTTGAGTTTGTTAGCAGTGATTCTTCAAGATCTTGATATACTGATGGCGCACCATTCCAAGACGTGCGTCTGGATATCTCCCAGTCTTAATTCTTGCCCTGCTGCTTTCAAAATTCGTCTTTCGCTTACACCCCGCGGAGGGCCATGGCTCCGAGCACCAGGTCATCCATCTGCAGCTTCCTCTCTTGCTCATCCTTAATGGCGTCAAGCCACGGGAGGCCATTGAGCTTGTAGTATTTCTTCACTTTTGTCCAATCTGTCGATACTGCAAGCTCATCGTCGGAGAATCCCGCAGGTGTGCCGTGCACATTCTCAGCCAAGTGCTTCTCGATGTCATCGCGAGACACAGGCGTCGCGGCACTATCACTCGGATAGGTGATCTTAACGACGACAAGATCCTTGGTCGCAGGGCTGATTCCAAAGCGACGATAGGCATCTGCAATCTGTGCCAGGTCAGTCTGGGATAAACCAGGGGGGGTTTGTGCTATGCGTGCGTACGTTATTCGAGGGACTCAGTGATGTAACAAGCTCGGAATGCACGTTCGGCGTCCTAAGGTTGTCACTCAGCTTGGCCGCCAGCGCCCTGAATGCAGCGGCCAGAATCTGGTTGCGCGACGCGACGACGGACGCGTCGACGAACGCATACTCGAATGCGGCGTTGCGCGCCAGGAGTTGGGAGTGCAGGAAGCCCGCGTTCTGGACTCCACGAAAGAGAGCGACATGAACCCGGTGGTCCGAAGGGACGAGGTCGAGGGCGATTGTGTCGAGCATGGTGCTTTCTCCGATTGATTCGCCGAACAGGCTAATCAAGGTTCTTCAGGGTGTCCCCAAACTATCGAGGCACGAAACACCGGGCTGTTGTGGGAGTCGAGAAGCGCGGATCACCCTTGTGTGGTCAAGAGCCGTGGACAGAGATCAAGGAAAAGCTTCTGATGGAGGGGTAAATGCTACTAGGTACGCTAGAGGGGCAGGTGGGGGCTAGAATTGGGTTGCCTGGTCTTGCTGGTGTATCAAAGCCGGTATCTCACTGGACCTTCAGATGACTAAGGCAAGTCGACGCTGGCATGTCGCTTCCAGACACCCTGATGCCCAAATCTGCAACTCCACCCATATGAAGTTGTCTTATCGAGACCGACCATACATGTACGAGCACCCTGTGCATTGCTGGGAGCAATGCAAGACGTGAAGCAGGGGTGTCCGCCCGTTTAGCCGCCTGTTCGACCTGCCCATCCTGGATATTGGTCGCCCATGGGTGCTGTGCTTGTTTTTGCCTGCCTTATTATGGTCGGCAGATATCTAGCTGCTGACCGATCTTGCCAGTACAGCTCGTGGCCTTGAGGTCCGTCAATGCCTGATCCAGGACGAAACTTTCTATACGTTGCAAAAGTCTAACAACGAAATTGAGGCACTTGCTCATCGTGCAATTGGAGCATATATATATAGAACGTGTGCAATCTCTTGGATGGAAAACACGTTGTGGACAGGACGAATGATGGGCATCTTATTCAAGATGAGCAGACACATCTTTTGCAGCCGCTAGAGGCAATAGCTTGTGGCCAGACGCTAAAAATAAAGAGTCGAAAGGCTTGTTTGAACGTGGGTTCCAGCATGGCACGAACCCTTGGTGAGGCGTGTGCATCTAAAAGTCAAAAACCAGAAGCCTCAAACCATAAAAAGGGTTGACAGCAGGCGCTGGGCCTGAGTCATGTCGCGGGACATCGGAGCTGAGGTTCTTGACTCGGGTCATCAGACGAACTACTTGGTCGCCGTCTGGGCCCCTATTTGTGCCTTGTGCTTTGTGCTGGTCCGATGACATGTGATGAATGGGCGGCGATAGCGCGACGACACACCCACCTTTACGAAGCCATCCATCGGGCACACTCGCTAGCTACAAAGACGATGAAGGGGAAAGGGATGAAAAAGAGGGAAAAAAAGGGGGTAAAAAAAAAAAACCTTGCATCCCACGATCGGTCAACTTTGGCTTCACATTCCAGGCTGGGAAGGATGGGGCGAATTTGAAGCGGGTGGGTTCTGGGCACACCAGCAAGCACCAGGACGAAACCGGAACTTGGACTCCATCCCTTCGGAATGGTTAGGAAGATGGCCGTCTGCGGCTGTGACATCAAGCCTCTTCCTCGACCATGAGTCCGGGCAGAAGAAGGCTATTCGTGGCAGTCGGGTGACCAATGATGCAACGTCGTATGAGGTCCACGATGGTCGTCATGGAGAGGTATCTGAAGAGACAGTTCTGGACCTCGAACGGCTATGCTATCCCATCAAGGATTCTTCAAGTATTAGAAAGGTGACGACGACAATGACAAGGGGCGACGGGGGCCTGGGACGCAAGGGGCATGTTTTAGAAAAGAAAAAGGGGGGTTATGGTATTAGTGATGGTGACGGTGACGGTGATGACGGGGACAAGAGGCAAGGGCTCTGACCTTTGGGTTGCCAACGTCAGCCTTGCCTCAGCCCCTCAGGCAGAACCTACCTACCTACGTACCGCAGGTGAGGCAAGTTAGGTACCTACCTTGGATACCCAGGTGCCAAAGGTACCTACCTACAGGGAGGTGCAGCTTCTAGTACAGAAGCAGACGGGGGCAAGGACGCAGAAGCATGGCTTCGGCGCACGCGCTGGTCCGGCGCTGATAGTGGGGGCTAACGGAGACGGTACTGCCACTAGCATGCCTAGCGTGAGTCCCCGGATTGGCGCCTTGCCTTATGCGAAATCTCCTGCAGCAAACCGCGACGACCGGTCCTGGCGCGGTGCACGCTGGGGTCCCCCCTTAAGCTCACAGGATTCAGCGGCAGTGACAGCGATGGCAGCAGTGGCGGGTTGGGCAATTGGCAGGTCGAACTTGCCGTCGGCTGAGCAAGCCCCGTCGTCGCTTCCCCGATGCGCGGGGACCAGCATCGACTTGCAGGAATCGGAAACGGGCGCTGTGCTGCTGGGGCGAGGAGGGACCGACCTAGTCCTGGTAGACAGACCTAGACCTGGACCTGCCTAAACCCCGATCAGTCTTGAGTCTGAGCCTGAGCCGGAGCCAGCGCCTGAGCTTGCCTGCCTGCCTGCCCTGCCTTGCCTGCCTGCACTTGAGCCTGAGCTTGAGCCTGATCCTGATCCTGTTCATTGAGCCTCGAGCGAGCCTCGAAGCCTCGAGTATTCGTATGCTAGCTGCCCCCAATTACCGTCGGTATCGGCTTTCCTCCATTTCCTCCTTCGGTTTTACCGTCGTCACTTTGTGAGATATTTCCCCTTAAATCCTCCATGGTCGTCCAAACGAGACAGCCCGTCACCCGCGACGACAAACTTGCGCCCAGTCACCTGTCTTTCCTCCCCCGAGCCCGACGACCGTCACCAGCCGCCCGCTCTGGCTTACCCGCCCGTCCTGTCACTCGCCCTCGCAACGCAGCGCAACGCCTCGACGCGACAGAGCGGCGGTTCTTTGGAGGAGAGGCGCCATCCCTGTACCTGACGCACCGCGACGCACATCAGCTGTTAGATCCAACCAGCATCAACGCAACTCGGACCCAAGGCGCAAACACTTGCCCACGCCACCGCGCAGGCGCAGGCGCTTTTGCAGGGTGGTAATAACGTCACCCCGCGCGGCAAACCCCCTTCCCCACGGCAAACCCCGCGACGCCAGCAGCTTTCCAACCCCAAAGTCCTCTTGGCAACCGACTGCGCTGCTTCGACGGCCACGACCACACCACGGGCGCCCCTGACGATGCCTACTGGCCGTCCAGTGAAGCGTCCCGCCGACGCCTTTGCTGGCGATGTCACAAACGTTGTCCTACGGTCGGGCATCGTCCCATCCAATGCTGCTGATCCCATCGTCCCATCCACAACGCATGACGCCACCGACCAAGCCGCAACCTCGCAGGGCAAGGTCAAGCTTCCTCGGGTCGAGAACCGACAGACGCAAGAAGACTTCTCCGCCCAGGTCAAGAACCGCTTAAACTCGTTCACCAGGACCGGCCAGGCTTGCGATCGCTGCAAGGTCCGCAAGATCAAATGCGACGCCCTCCCCGAAGGATGCTCCCACTGCCTCCAGCAAAGCATCGACTGCTACGTCACCGACCGGGTGTCGGGGCGCACCGAGCGCCGGGGCTATTTGCAGGATCTGGAGCGTGAGAAGAAAGACATGGCAGCTCACATCAAAAACCTCGAGTCTTTGTTGGCCGACAATGGCATCCAAGTTCAACCTTGGACTTGGTCCAAATACCCAACCATGAACGGCCCGCCTGGCGTGACGCTCAATCACATGGGCCAGGCTGTCGAGACGGACGAGGTCAGGGGGCAATGGACTCAGATAAGGTCTGTATGGGTCAAGAACTACAAGGCCGAACCGGCCGTCGTCACCACGAGGCCGAAGAATTCGGCACGCTCAGCTCTCGAGTCTCGGCCGGCCGACATCCACATCGGTGTCGGCCCTGACATTGCACCCATGAATGCCATCAAGGGGACCAAACTCACTATACTGGGAACAACAATTGACTTGACGTCGTTCAGCGCACCCGATATGGACGAACCAGGTCCCGACGTAAGAGTCGCGCAACCCCTTTACAACAAGTCCATCCAGGCCTACCTGCAGTCAGCGATGAACATCAATCCCCCGCCGCATGTGAAGTTGCCTTCACGCGCGGAAGCTTTCGAACTCTCTCAGTGGTACTTTGTTTTTGTCTTTCCGTTCCTCCCTGTCTTACACAAACCGACGTATCTGGAAATGCTCGCCAAAATATACGACGACCCGAGTTTCCAGCCGACGGTGGCAGAACTGGTCATGGTACACATGGTCGTCGCTTCAATTTACTATCAGCAATCTCTTCGCGCACCTCCAGGAGCCGTGGACTACAATGAGCTGTCCAATCGCCACTACCACTTCGCGCTGGGAAAGTTTTTCGACCTGGCGTCGTCACAGACCATATCTGCCGTCCAAGCCATGGCCATGATTGCTGCTCATGGCCGCAGCTTCCCCAAACCAGGATGCGGTTTTGTTGTAGCCCACTATGCGTTTCTGCGGGCTGTTGACATGAACCTTCACCGGGCTGTCAAGCAGGACGGAGAGACGACAAACCTAGACCTGGAGATTCGCAAGCGGACATGGTGGACGATTCTTGCTGTGTGTGTCACCCTAGCCGGACGCCTAGGGCGACCCATGCCAATCACCGTCGACGAGTACGACATTGAGTTTCCTGAGCCTGTAGCGGATGAGCTGCTCACCCCGGATGGACTGCTTGCTAGCTCTAGCACATCGCAGTGCGAATTTCACCCCGGACTCGCCGGGTTCCGCATCATTCCTCTGCTGATCGAGATGTACACCAATGTTTACAGCGTCAAGCGCGATCCTACCATCTATGTCGATGTTGTCGACAGCCTCGAGGAGAAGCTTCGTATGTGGAAAGAAGACCACCCACCCTCGCTGCGACCAGACCTTCCCACAAATGATCCCCAAGATGGCCAGCAGCACATGTATCAGCTCTATGTTGAGATGATGGAGCTCGAGCTCCGCCTTGCGCTTCGCAGCCCCTCGGTGGCTATGACGACTGACCGCAAGATTTTGGCCGAGAATTCGCACATATGCGAGGAGACAGCTTCCCGCATGCTAGAGCATGCCAAGGCCCTTCACAAACTCAAGTGTCTCGATGTGACGTGGTACCAGATTGCCATTTTCGCAGCAGCCATGTTCACAACGCTCGTGGCGCACTGGGAAAGGCGCTTTGACCCGAACGAGCAGAGCTCGACACTGCGGCGCGACATGACAGATTGGTTAAGCATCATTCACTCCATTGCTGTTGCTCTTGGTATGTCTCCGCTCTCAGTTCATTGAGATGTGATGCTAATATACCAGGTTCGGGTGAGCACATCTACAAACAACTCAGTGCAAAGGTCGACTCGACTTTGCGCTGGATTGAGCACGACCGGCAGCAGCAGCGACAGCAACAGCAGCAGCAGCAGCAGCATCGACAAAGACAACAGCAGGAGGAGGCGACTGCGCATCTCCAATCTCAACTGGCTGCAATGCCAGAAATCAAACAGGAAATTGTAGAGGGTTCTTTCCCGGCGTCATCCGGCCCTCAGTCAGTGCTGCCCACACAGACTGTGCCGTCCATGGCGAAGGCCTACTACGATGACCCGAACCACAACGGCGGCACAGCATATTCCCAGCTTGCGTATACGGAACCGACAACCCAAGCAGGAATGTTGTCGTCGTACGACAGCAGCTACCTGTATCCCGCCTCTACACAAGAAAGTGCTACTCCCATCCTGAACAGTGGCATATCCACGGCGAATCACGATCCTCTGGTGGCTTTCGCATCGCAGGCGACGCAACAAGTGATCCAGCCTGAGTCCCCGGCCGTGGACCAGTACCTTTGGCGTCACGTAACAGCGCCCACTGCGCAAGGCACCAACTGGGGCGACTGGGCAGCAGCCATGTCTGCCAGCCAGGAGCGATACGGCGCGAACGCGCTCCTCAACATGGGAACCGTACCCCGCGAGACGCATGTGCCAGCCGACATGGTCAGCATGAACGCTGCGTCAGCAGGACAGTGGCCGACGCTTCTATGGAACGACAACCAGTCAGAGCATTGACGCAAGCGTGTGAATTTAAGGGCAATGACTGGAAGACCTTGCTTGATTCACGATCATCATTGAGTTTGGTACGGAGTTTACGAAAAAGGCGAGATAGAGACACTGGCGTTTGGCATCTGTTCCTGCAGTCACTTGTCTGGGGTCGCAGGCATGACACGGCGTCGGCGATGGGGACGGCGTTCAACGGAGACGGGCGGCTTCCGCGGTTGGGCTATGTAATATGACATTTCGGCTGGCGGGGTAATGTGGAGGAGCCTAAGATACCCGACGAATTGATTGACTTGACGATGAGTGCCTTTGATGCAAGCATCATAGACCCTGCCTGTGTGCTTGTCTGCTGGCGTGCCATGGCTAGAGAGGGGAAGGGGTTGCGTTGTGGCCAGGGTACCAGCACTTGCAATGTCAGCGGCTTGTCCGGTAATGCATCTTCTCGGGCCTCCCGGCGCAGGACAAATACCAAAGACCGAGTTATAGGGTCTGTACTAAATCTAGGCAGAATTGAGGGCGCGCATGGAAGTCGAAGGTAGGGTGCGGGTACGTTAATTGAACTTTATTATACAATCGCGAGTCGTGACCCTTGCTCTTGAAAAGAGCCCCGTCCTGGCTTGACCCCTCAGCGCGACGTTGCGGCCGGGCCGGCACGGACGGCTTCATCTCGCGGCAAAGAATAATAAGAGCATATATATCGTGAAGCCGAGGACCTGAGGGCATTGGTTTCTGATCAGCGTCCCATCACAACTTTTCCTTCACGATCCGCATCCTTCGTTTCAAAAGTTTCCGGCACCGGCACAGACTTGTTGTCACCAGCGCTGACAGCACTACAAGATGATTTTCTCTTCGCTCATTGCTTCCGTGGCCGTGCTCGGCAGTGGCGTCAACAGCTTTGCCATCCGGCAGAACTCGCCTGCTTGGACAACGCTGCCGCCAACGCCGGAGCTGCCAGCGCCCATCAGCACGACGACGACGCTGATCAACGGCGTCCAGCTCTGGATGCAAAAGTACAACGAGAAGGCCAACGCGATCCCCATTGTGATGGACCACGGCGGTCTGGGCTACTCGGCATACTTTGGGTCCGTCATCTCGCGGCTCGTCGCCGACGGCTACTACGTCATCGCCGTCGACCGCCGCGGCCACGGCCGCTCGACGTTCAACGCCGGCGACGTCTTCACCTTTGACCAGATGGCCGTCGACATCCACGACCAGCTCGCGCACGCCGGCGTCCCGCAGTACGACGTCGTCGGCTGGTCGGACGGCGCCATGACGACGCTCGCGGCGCTCATCAACCCCGTGACGGCGGCGCCCATCCGCAAGGCGTTTCGTCTTCGGGGGCGCCCCCAACCCCGAGGGCACCAACGCCACGTTCAGCGACACGGCCATCTTTGCCGAGTTTGTGGCGCGCTGCCGCACCGAGTACGCGACGCTGCAGCCCGGTGCCGACTTTACGGCCTTTGCCACAAAGGTCGGCACCATGGAGGCCACGCTGCCGCAGTTCACCGACAAGCAGCTCGGCACCATTGACGGACGCCGCGTCATCATCGTCGGCGCCGAGCACGAGGAGGCCATCAACCTCGACACGCCGGCCCAGCTGCACAAGGCCATCAAGGGCAGCAAGCTGCAGATCCTCAAGGGCGTCAGCCACTTTGCGCCCATGCAGGACCCTGTGCAGTTCACCAAGGCTGTTGAGGACTTCCTTTGCAAGGCGTAGATGGGCGAGGCAGTCGTAGGGGGGATGATTAGGATGCGTTGCATGCATATGGGACTGGAGCGTCATTGATAGATCTAGATTCCTTTGCATAGAAAAGTCGCCTGCGAAGCATATTGGCGAGGGTATGATGACCATATTTTTCTCTCGACCGCACCTTCTCTCGGCTTTGTCATTCAGTTGACGTGGGGAAAGTGACATGCAGCTCAAGCGCAGCTTCCACATCGGAACTGCTTGAGGTAAGAGTATTGCTGCCTTGCGGCAAGAATATTGCTGTCCTGCGGCAAGAGTGCCCCGTACCACGATGCCGGTTCTTCTGATACCTATATCTTCTGGCGAGCCTTTTCACAATCAACAGCAACTTACAAACCGTAACACTAGTATGATTGACGTCGAACAGCATCCACGCCGCTTCCTTAAACAGATCATCAGCTTTGAACACCATAGTGAATACCATACGTTCTCACCCTCTCGATATGGCGACCGACACGTTTCACCTGTTCCGTCGTCTCCCCATTGAACTCCGAAAGACCATCTAGGAGTTTGCCATTCGGCCTTTGAATCGAAACTTGGCTCACTTCTTCACCCTCTCGGACGAACTGGATAAAAAGGAACCGGAATTTCATGGCTGCGAATTCAACGAGGACCAAAATGTTTGCCTCTTCGCCCCAATGAAGCGAGATCAAGATAACGCCACCGGCATGCACCGTGTCAAGCTCTCTTGGCTCAACGACAACGACTCGTTCTACATGCACGACAGTGGCGTCCTGACGGCAAGTCGAGAGTCGCGCCAAACCATGATCAGGTATCTCCGACGAGTTCGCGCGAAGCCAAGATACGCACCCGGCAGCATCCTATTCTTCACTTTCCGAGAGCCGTCGTCGTCTGGCGAGACCTCTCCTCTTCGCCAGTCTTTTATCGAATTCGACGCCAACGACCTCATAGTTCTCCGGTCACAATACCACCTTCCGCATGGGACCTGGTACAACGCCGTTCAGTACCTGGTGGATGCAAGGCCTTACATCGGCCAGGGGTCAACCATTGGTATTGCCATGGATCCCGACAACTACCCTACCTTTTACAACAGCTCCGACGGCGCCCCTTTCATGGGTGTTGCCCATCTCTTGTCCGAAATCATTGACGAGTGTCGCGAAGCCTTCGACGAGGTCGACGCCTCGCTCACGATTGCGGTGATTGACAGCCGCCTCGAGATCGAGCTGTAGGACGAGGACCTAGAGGATCGGTGTGTGGAGTCACGCGACAAGAACATCATGTTGCTCGATTTGCTCGGATTTCCCAGTGATGTCGCGCCCCCGTGGGATTTCTGCGACCCAGACATGCTGTACGTCTTCGATGCCTACGCGCATACGATGCGCTACTTGATGGATTTAATCGAGGTGGATGAGATGGATCACTGTGAAGTGATGCTGATGGGCACCATACGAAACACACTGTAGCCTGGTCGTTCACCATCCATAGAGCACCGGCTGCCGGAGCGCCGGCTAATACCGTATTGACCGCCCGCGGGTGGTGCATGTTATCATCCCGCTATAGCCCACGGCTAAATACGCGCAGTCCACCTCCACATGCAACCTTTCCCCCGCATTGCGACTTTGTTGGCCCGCAGATCGTCAGTCCATCTCCAACCAGGTTGTTGTCGGGCCCCGAACCAGACTTGGAGAAACCTGGATAAAGCTGTTCAGACGACCAGATGATACTACCCCGTTGTGGGGATTGCATTGTCAAGGCTGAAACATCGAACGTACCCTGCCATGCTCCTGGTATGATGTCAATTGCTTTGAACGTGTCATTTCAGGTTGACAAGCAAGGTGATTGCGTAGCATCAACCGGAGTACTTCGTCGTCGAAGGCCGGCCCGGAGGACCCCAGATGACTCCAGACCCCAACGACACGGCTGCCGAAGCCCCAACATCGGTTTCTTTTTTTTTTGCCAAGCCCGTGCCGGTACTTCTCCGCCACAGCCGATTTCCGATCTTCCCCATGCGGGGAAAAACCAACGAACAAGACGTCAGGCCACAGCTACAGTGACACAGCAAACCCGGCGCCAACCTCCCCTTGTCTCCCCCCCCCCCAAAAAAAGACAGGCCTCATTTTTACCGAGCCCTGCGAAGCCTGGTCCCTACCCCTCGCTATCCTCGGCCAAGAACTCAGTGTTTGGTTCCCAGACGCGATTTAACCGTCCATCCGGCTAGAGTGATCGTCCTCTAGCCTTGCGGCCCCAATGACGAACGTTGTGCCTGAAAGGCCGGTGGTTGCCTTTATTGGTCCTGTAGGAGGACTGGAGGCTGGTGTTGCTCTCGGAGCCCGCTCTGGCGCCGTGAAAATGGGAAGAAGCCCACCCTTGGCAGGCAACGATGCGACGCTGCTATGTCTGGTCATCTATTTTGCCTCATTGTGGATGGCCTGCTCCGCTCCGAAGGAAAGGAACAGATTGGTCAATGGAGGGACGTGACCTGCTACGGACGTGGTACTACGGCGTCCTGCGTCCTGAGCTTCGGCCCTGGTTCCTGGGTGCTTGTGCAGTAGTTGACGCACTCATATAAGTATACGTGACGCTGCTCGCCTCTTTTTGTCCCACTGGCTCACCACGAGTGACACAGCCGCCGATCAGGGTCTCCCATCGCAAGTCAGGAGGCGCGTTCTCATCAATCATTACTTGGAGCACCAAACAAAGCTGAGCCAACAGGCTACAGACCGTCATGGCCGTCTTCAGCGTCAAGTCATGGTCGGTCGTGGCACTTACGAGCCTGTTACCGCTGGTCTCTGCTCTCGGCCAATCGCCCATCGTCGCCTTTGAGAACGCTGAGGGGAGCTTCCAGATTGCCGGTGGTGACGTGGGAACTGGTCAGATCCGCGTGTCCGCCAATGAATACTGGGGCGTCATCCGTGCTGCCGGCGACCTTGCGGCTGACTTTGGCCGCGTGACGGGAACGAACTACACCTTGAGCAATGGCGAGAGCGGAGCCCAACCTGCAGCATATACCTTTGCTCCTGTTGACGTCACAAACAACACTCACGTAGGTGGACCGTGAAATTTCTTCTTCCTAGAAACTCATGTCTGACGGCTCTCTAGTTCAGCACGACAGCCGAGGAGTCGCTTTCGGGCCCCGAATACTCCGACCCTGATGCAGGCAGCACCGTCATCATTGCCGGCACCATCGGCCACTCGGAGATTATCGATCAGCTCATCGAGTCTGGCCTCATTGACGTCGGCGAGGTCGAGGGCGAGTGGGAAGCATTCGTCAGCCAGCTCGTTGAGAACCCTATCGAGGGCGTCGCTCAGGCTCTGGTCATCGCTGGCAGCGACCCTCGTGGCACTGTCTACGGCATTTACGACGTCAGCGAGCAAATCGGCGTCAGCCCATGGTACTTCTGGGCCGATGTCCCTACCCGCCAGCGGGAGAACATCTATGCTCTGTCCGAGCGCAAGGTCCAGAAGACGCCGTCCGTCAAGTATCGCGGCTTCTTCCTCAACGACGAACAGCCTGGACTGTCCAGCTGGGTTGGGTGAGTCCGCCTTTTCCAACGGTAAAAATTGAAGCACTCCCCCCATACTGATCTGATACAGCACGCAGTGGAATGACACCTGGAACGATGCTGCGCCGTACAACCGCCACTTTTACGCGCTTATCGGCGAGGTTCTGCTCCGGCTGCGGGCAAACTACCTCTGGCCCACGCTCTGGGGCAGCATGGTGTACATTGACGATCCCTACAACCAGCCTCTGCTTGATGCTTTTGAGATTGTCCTCGGAGGCTCCCACACGGAGCCCATGATGCGGGCGCAGAACGAGTTCCGCACCTTCTACGAGGGCCCATGGCAGTATGCCGAAAACAACGAGACGATTGACGAGTACTTTCGCTACGGCGTCGAGCGTGCCAAGCCTTATGCGCGCAACAGCGTCTGGACCATGGCGATGCGCGGTACAGGCGACACGGCCATCGAGGGCAACCTCGGCATCGACGCCATCGTGAGCATGCTCGAGACGCTTGTCGACAACCAGCGGTCGATCATCGAAGAAGGGCTCGAGATCGAGTCGGCGGCCGAGGTCGACTCGCTCTGGTGCCTGTACAAGGAGGTCCAATCGTATCAGGAGAGGGGACTCGTCGTGCCAGAGGACATCACGCTCCTGTGGGCCGACGACAACTGGGGCAACGTCCGCAGGCTGCCGCTCGCCAACGAGACGGACCGATCCGGCGGTGCTGGTGTGTACTATCACTTTGACTATGTCGGGGACCCGCGCAACTATAAGTGGATCAACACGATCCAGCTCGAGAAGACGGCCTCGCAGATGTACCTGTCGTACGCGCGGCACGCGCGCAAGATCTGGATTGTCAACGTCGGCGACCTCAAGCCCAAGGAGATCCCCATCAGCCACTTCTTCGACATTGCCTACGATATTGACCGCTGGGGCGCCGACGGCACGACCGACTGGGTCCGAGCCTGGGTCGAGCGCGACTTTGGCGGCACACACACGGACGCCATCACGGACATTTTGACACGCTACGGCATGTACGCGGCGCGCCGCAAGTACGAGCTCCTCGAGCCGCAGGTCTACTCGGTCATCAACTACCACGAGGCCGAGGCCGTGCTGGAGCAGTGGGCGGCCCTGCGCGAGGACACGCAGGCCGTCTACGACGAGCTCGACGAGGCGTACCAGCCCGCCTTTTTCCAGATGCTGCTTCACCCTGTGCTCGGCGCCGAGATTGTGTACAAGATCCAGATCAACGGCGCCAAGAACCAGCTCTACGCCGGACAGAAGCGCAACTCGGCCAACGATGTCATTCGCGAGTCGGTCGCTCTGATGTACGACGATTCGAACCTGACGCAGCGCTGGAATGAAGTGCTCGACGGCAAGTGGGCACACATGCTTGACCGTACGTGAGCCCGTGTTTCTTTTTCCCCTCTTGTATTCTCGTTTGGCTATGAATGATGGGCCGATGGCTGACCAATGCAGAAACCCATTTGGGTTACGATGGCTACTGGCAGCAGCCCATGAGGAACACGCTGCCAGACCTGCGCTACGTCCAGGACGTGTTCCCGTCGCTCGGCGGCCAGTACGGCATTGGCGTCGAAGGCTCGAATGCCAGCATCCAGGGCGACTCCAAGTGGCACGCGCTGTCGTCGAGCGGCCTCGAGATGCTGCCACTGAGCCCCTGGGGCGCCGCGTCGCGGTACATTGACGTCTTCAGCCGTGGCCCCAAGCACTGCAACTGGCAGGCCTCACCGTGGGAGCCGTACGTGCAGCTGTCGCAGTACAACGGCACCGTCGGCGGCGACAACGGCACGGACACGCGCATCTACATGACGATTGACTGGGCCAGCGCTCCGGCGGCGCCCAACCGCACCGAAGTTTTCATCAACATCACCAGCGACTGCCGAGGCTTTGAGCGCTACGCGGGTGCCGAGCCCCGTCTCACGGCGATTGTGGAGAGCGTGTCTGTGCCGGACAATTTTACCGAAGGGTTCGTCGAGGCTGACGGTCACGTCGCCATTGAGGCGTCTCACTACCAGAGCATCTTCGAGGGCACAGGCGGATCGTCGTCATCGTCACCGCCGAACAGCACGGGCTCCAACTCGACGAGCGTCAGGAGGCGCCAAGACAGCAACGAGACGGCGCCAGCGTACCACACGCTCCGGAACTACGGGCGCACGCTGGCGGGTGTCGGGCTCTACCCGCTCGACTCGGAGAAGCTCGAGGTGGGCGAGGGCCCGGCGCTCGAGTACAGCGTGTACCTCTTCACGAACCACTCGGCGGCCAACGTGACGGTGTACATGTCGCCGGGCGCCAACTACCTCGGCGACAACAACCCGCTGCAGTACGCGATCGCGCTCTTCCCGGCGGGCGGCGAGCAGCCGGAGCCGACGGTGGTGACGCCGATCGGGCCCAACGTCGGATCCAACATGCCCGACGGCTGGGGTCAGGCCGTGGCCAACGCCGTCTGGGGCCTGCAGGGCAACTACACGACATCGTCGTTCAACGTCACGCAGGAGGGCGCGTACACGCTGCGCATCTGGGCGCTGCTGCCGAACATTGTGGTGCAGAAGATTGTCATTGACCTCGGCGGCGTGCGTGATTCGTACCTCGGGCCGCCGGAGAGCTTCCTCGTGGGGAGGGACGAGAGGGGATCCTACAACGGCACGTCCTTTGTGACGACGCCGGGCATTGTCGGCGGAGTGGACCACAACCGGACGTCGTTGCCTGGAGGCGGCGAGTCCGAGGAGGCTGACGAGTCGAACAAGGCGTCGAACGATGCTGGCGGCTTGGCGGTGGGAGGCTTCACGAGTGTGCTCATGGTGGTTCTGGCGGTCGTACTGGTGCTATGATGGGTGTGACGAGTCTGCATGATGTATATGACGAGTGAAGCAATTGCAAGTTCTTGAAGACACATTTTGGGTCGGGGTGCACTGATTGGTGATGGAACGGTTTCGTGGTGTCTGGCTCCTACAGAGAGTCGAAGGTCATGAGTATGCCTTGGGTCAAGATGATCCAGCAGTGAACATGATGAATTGCCGGTATGCTGTCAAAGCGCAGTGATGGAATGCTGGCCCAGCATGCCATATGCCATGATGGAGGTGGTGATGTTGCTGGTGGTGCTGACCTAGGCATCTGGATTGTCACTACCTTACCTTAGGTAAGTTGGCAAGGTAGCAAGGCAAGGTCGGCACATAGGGAACAATCACGTGGTCGGCGGGCCTACACCAAGGCGCTAAAGTGAGTCCCGGTTGCCAGGGACGACAGCACTAGCACGCCCGGCCACCCCTGCCCAAAACAAACGTCGGGGCGTTCGCCCTGCAGCACGCAGCAGAACGCAGCAGCACACAGCAGCACTGACGAGTGAGGTACCTGCTTGGCGTCGGAGCGAGCTTTCGAGCCAAAAACATCAAAGCACCTCCACCTCGTCACTCGAATCCCCATCTTCAACTCGACAGCCCCAGCTCCAGCTCCAGCCCCAGGTAAGGAAGGCATAGCAACACGTCTGTTTTCTTTTTTTTTTTCCCCCTCCCGCCTTGACCCCCATTGCTTTCAGGCGCGAGAAGCAGCATCCTTCTCATGAGTACATATTTGCACATTGCGGCCTCTTTTTGTTTTTGATCAACACCGCCGACAATCCGCACCCCCTTGGCCGTTGCAGGCCTCGAACGCCCCCCCCCCCAAACACGAAAGACAAAGCCCGAGCGACGACCAGAGCCCAAGGACTCGAACTGCGAACCGCGCGAAACACAGCATCACCGCGGGACAAGATGGTCGTCGATCCTGGTGCCTCGTCCATCAATGTCACAGGTCCGTTCATGCCCTCCCTACACCCCCTGAGCCACGCGCTGACCTCGTGAACTCGACAGTCCGAGTGCGACCTTTCACCATTCGTGAAGCGGCGCAATTGTACGCGCCTCCTGCTCCAAGTACATTGGGGAAAATCGACACAACATGCTGACTCTGCCAGGACGCGGACCGATGAAGGCACCCTCTTCCTCGGCGACGGCTCGCTGGCCGCTGCCCCCACACCCAAGCTCAACACGAGGGGCATCCGACCTGTGATCAAGGTCGTCGATGACCGATGCCTGTCCGTGGCCATCCCACGCTTATCCTGCCGAACCACAAACAGCTGACAACCTTTCAGAGTATTTGATCCTCCCGAAGACAACCCCGTCCAGAGGTTCTCCAGATCCGTCGTGCCCAACGGCAAGAAGGTCAAGGACCAAGTCTTCGCCTTTGACAGGATCTTCGACGACAATGCCACGCAAAACGATGTGTACGAAGCAACAACACGGACCCTGCTCGACAGCGTCCTCGACGGCTACAACGCCACCGTGTTCGCCTACGGCGCAACCGGCTGCGGCAAGACGCACACCATCACCGGCACCTCGCAGCACCCTGGCATCATCTTCCTGACCATGCAGGAGCTCTTCGAGAAGATCGCCGACCGCAGCCAGGAAAAGACGACCGAGGTCACCCTCTCTTACCTCGAAATCTACAACGAGACGATTCGCGACCTGCTCGTCCCCGGTGGCAGCAAGCAGGGATTGATGCTGCGAGAGGACTCGAACCAGGCCGTTTCTGTCGCTGGCCTGACGAGCCATCGCCCCAAGGATGTGCAGGAGGTTATGGACATGATCGTCAGGGGTAACGAGTTCCGCACCGTCTCGCCGACCGAGGCCAACGCCACATCGTCCCGCTCCCACGCTGTCCTGCAAATCAACGTCGCCCAAAAAGACCGCAACGCCGACGTCAACGAGCCGCACACCATGGCCACCCTCAGCATCATCGATCTGGCCGGCAGCGAGCGTGCGAGTGCCACCAAGAACCGCGGCGAGCGCCTGCTCGAGGGTGCCAATATCAACAAGTCGCTGCTCGCGCTCGGAAGCTGCATCAATGCTCTCTGCGATCCCCGGAAGAAGAACCACGTACCCTACCGGAACAGCAAGCTGACGCGTCTGCTGAAGTTCTCCCTCGGCGGAAACTGCAAGACGGTCATGATTGTGTGCGTCAGCCCCTCGAGCGTGCACTTTGACGAAACGCAAAACACGCTGCGCTACGCCAACCGCGCCAAGAATATCCAGACCAAGGTCACGCGCAATGTCTTCAACGTCAACCGCCACGTCAAGGACTTCTTGGTCAAGATCGACGAGCAGATGGCCCTCATCAACGAGCTCAAGGCGCAACAAAAGGACGCCGAACAAGTCTCGTTCGCCAAGTTCCGCAAGCAGCAGGATCGCCGAGACGCCATCGCCCGCGAGGGCATCCAGCGCATCCGCGTCGCCTACGACAACTCTGCCGGCGAGCGACAGGAAAAGCTGAACAACATGAAGAAGCTCAGAAGCTTCGAGCGTCGCATCGGCCTGCTCTCAAGCTGGCTCGCATCGTTCGATGCCATCTGCGATGCCCGTGGCGACGAGGACATGATGCCTTCTAACCTCGTCTCCATCCGCAAGACGGCCAGCGGTATCCTGTCCGAGCTCGAACACAGCAGGCACCACATGATCCAGAAGCTCGACAAGTTCAACTGGGAGCGCGCTCTCGACACAGCCCTGCACCACAGCATCCAGCAGCTGCCCGGGGACGGCTCCGCCGACTGCGGCGAGGTGGCGAACCTGTCGCGTGAGGTCGAGGTCCTCAAGGCGAGTTTCGGTCGCGAGTCGTACCGTGACGTGTTGGACTTTGACAAGACGGCCGACGCCTCCATGGTGCAGGTGCTTCTGACTGCCCAGTTTGACATGCTAGCATCCCTATCCGAGACGCTGGCGATGAAGGAGGAGGACGCTGTCTCCCATGCCAAGTCCATCATCCACCGTTTGCTCGAGGTCGGTTACACGGCAGCGTCCCATGTCGTCAAGCCCGACGGCTCTTGCATCCCCGTCGAGAAGTTTTCCCCCAGCAAGCGAGGCACACCCAAGCGAAAGAAGGCCGCTGCCGTCGGCAACATCCAGCCCATTGCCGCGCCTCTCCTGTCCGTGGCCGACGCGCCGGTGCTCACACAGCCGATTGCTGCTGCTTCGCCGATGAAGACGTCGCCCCGCCGGCGCAAGCCCATCAACGCTCGGAAGGGCGTTTCGTTCACGCCTGTGAAGAAGAAGGCGGCTTCGCAGCGGTCGGTTCGGTGGAGGGATGACGAGTCCGAGGATGGAACTCTGGCCGACTTTGACAAGACGCCCAAGAAGTACGAATCGACTCCGGAACAGAACTCGCCCGACAAGGCGCTTCCTCTGCCACCCATGCCCGCCATGTCGTCCCTGCCGGCCATGCCCACTCTGCCAATCTACTTGGAAACCACCAAGGAGGAGCCTGAGCCAGCCTCGGAGGACTCAAGCCCGTCTCTCGAGCTTCCCGAGACGTCAACTCTCGTGCCGGCCAAGCCTAACAGGTTCCAAGCCGGATTTCTGTCCAAGGGAAATGCGCGGGTCTCGTCCATTGCAGCGGCTCTCCGAGCCTGCCGACGCCGACGTTCTCGGTGAAGCTCGCCCCTTCGCCATCGTCGTCTGACAACGGCGACAAGCTCGGCCCGCTTAGGTCGCTGGACGTGGCGCGGTCTTCCAACCTGTCACCCTCGTCCTTCGGCTCCAAGATAGCGCGGCTCAGTCCGCCTCGGTGTTCATTTCTCGGCGACGAAAATAACCCCCCCTCCATCGCCTCTGGCCACTCCTCTGACTCCGACTCGTCCAAAATTGACCACCAAAAACTCCGGAACGCCCTCCACTCGGCCAAAAAGGCGGGGGGACGTAGGGTGTCCTCCATGTCCGGCTCCACGACCGCGTCTGCGCGACGCATCTCTTCCATTGGCCCTCTCCCCGAAAGGGCCGGCCACCGGGCCTCGCTTAGCTACTCCGGGCCCCTCGCCAGTTCGACGAACGGTATCTCTCGGCACCGCCGAAACAGCACAGCAGAGCGACGGCGCTCGCCGCCCATCGCGTGTTCCCCATCCGACTTTCGGGGTGCATTCACCCAGGGCCAAGCGCGCCGCATGAACTTTGCCGGCAGCGTCAAGCTGTCCGGTGTCGAGGGCAGCAGCCCAGGCGACCGGGCGCAGAGCCTCGAGGCAGGCAAGACCCGACGCATCACTATTGGTGGCTTGGGCGCCATGGGTGGTGCCGCCACGAGGGGACGCGATGTCAGCGCTGGTAGGGCTAGTGTTGGCTGGCGATGATCACCTCTTCTTCTTGTTCTTCTTTTTGTCCGTGTTTGGATTTCTGCATTTCTCTCACATCGGCGTCAAGGTTTCATTAGGCGTCAGGGGGGGGGAGGTTGGACAATGGCACGTCCGCGACAGACTGGCTAGACCGCCACGCATGTGCATGAGCTACGGCTTTTGTACGCTCCCAAATCTGGGATCGCTGTATCAGTAGGTGCCGTTCAGGCATAATGAGATCATGTTCCATCATTGCCGTGTTTGGAAAGCGATATGCCTGTTGCTTGATTGTGTTGTCAATGTTCCGTGTATCTTTTGCTATGGCCCCTGTCATGAGTCTCATGTAGACGAGCTCTGCCATTCTTTACATCCAGCTCTGGCCTCTTTTCTTTCGTCATCCCCCTCCAAGCTTCTTGTCGACTCGTACCTTGGGTTTTTTTCAAAGGAGCAACGCGGCGAACAGTCCCGCGGCCAACGCAACGGGCACCTCGTTCCCCACACCGGCAGCCGGCGTCTCCGTCTCCGCCGCGGCAGCATCCGTCCCAGTAGCCGTGTCACCCCCGGCAGCAGTCGTGGCAGAAGGAGAGGTCATGGTAGTAGTAAGAATAGCAGCCGTCGTCGTCGTCGTCGTCGTCGTCTGGTCGTCATCGTCATCGTCATGGCCACCGCCGCCGCCGCTCGCGCCCTCGGCGTCCGGCAGCAGCCTGTCGCGGCAGAGCCCGGGCAGCTGCGCGGCGTACTGGCCCTGGTCGGCGGGCGTGCAGTCCCGGATGCAGGCGATCATGGGGCTGCCGCTGAGGGTGGCGCAGGTGCACTCGTCGAGGGCGGCGCCCTGCTCGTCGCCGTCGCATTGCGAGGACATGAGGTTGTTCGTGATGCAGGTCGCCACGCAGCGGGGGCGGTCGCTGTTCTGGGCGAGGGCGAGGAGGGTGAGGGCGAGGATGGAGAGGATGGAGGCGTGCATTTTTTACTCCCCTTTTTTCTTTTCTTTTCTTTTCTTGGGAGACGAGGTCGGTCTTGGGCTTTGAGTGTGTCGGATCGAGGAAGAATGCGGGACGAGGCGCCGTGTTCATGAGGACTGTGGTGAAGAGATTCATGTTCGGAGAGGGTGCCGTCTTTGAGGCCTTGGCATCTTATACCTCCCGTTACCCCGGCTGTTGGGTCCTCTCTCTCTCTCTCTCTCTCTCTCAGACACACACACACACTAACCCTAAGCCTTCTTCCCCAGACGTAACCCCTTTCCCTGTGCAATTGTCATAGCCTATGCGAGGGAAGCTCGTCCGGCTGATCAGACGCTATTGTCCAATTCGCCAGGCCGTTCGCTCCAATGTGATCATATCAGCCATCTCCTGGGGCGACCCCTGTCGTGGCGAACACGCTGTTCAGCCCTGGGACGGGCTACAACCTGTGAGTGGAGGATCGCGAAGCAGCCACGGCGGCCATGAGGGGTCGGGACGGCCCTCAGCGGGCAATGTGGCCTTCACTCGGGTGGTCCTTCATTCTGCAGACGCTATGAATATCTCAAGGTGGACGACGTGGCGACGTCTGGCGGTCGGAGATGATTGCTGTCCGAGCCCATCGTTGGTTGCTGAACATCTCCAGGCTGGTCAGCTTGCCCGCAGCTACTGCGTGAACACTTCTGCGTGGTCAGGGGGTCGTGCTCAACGTCATCTGGTCGTCGCTGTGACGAGTCGGAAGATCTTGGTGTGCGCGCGCGCAGGGTCGAACAGCACTCGCCTTTTCGGTGGCATATTGGTCCGACATGACGATGTCTTACGGTCTGTCATACCTGGGTTCATTTGATCGGCTATGGCGCGCGGGGGTAGTCAATTGGCAGTCATCATAGCACTTGAGGAAATTGGTTGAGCGTGGAACCTCTCTGGCAAGTCTGGAAAGGGAGAATTTAGGCTCGATGAATCCGACTCCATGGTCTTTCTGATTACCTACCTAGGTAGGTGTGGGTGAAGCAAGGCTTGGAGGTTTGAGGATGTGACGAACCGGATCTGGAGCTCAATATAGGGCTGATTAGTAATCGCAGGACGGAATGTGAATTCCTGCAACTCCACTGTTAAGCTCCAATCACGTCGACGAAGCGCTGCGATGCCACTGACGTAAGGCTGTTCCTTCCTCTGTAGCTGACAGCTTCTTGCACCACAATCTGGCATTCTTCCGGATCGCCAGCCGACCGGAATACTCTTCTTTGAGACACCAGAGAGCTTCTCACTGTCAAAGCTGAACACACTGTGCTGGTTTGTCGCCCCCCCCCCTTGGCAGACCTCCGGGAAAGATGCCGGACCAACCGATACCCACTCCACCATCTCCGGGCCCCGCGCAGCCTTCGGCACCGAGTCGAGCCTCGAGCAAAGGCAGGGCCTCTGGCGCACGCAAGTACACCACCAAAGCCTGCCAAGAGTGTCGTCGCCGGCGAGCCAAGGTTGTGCCATTGATCCCGTAGCGTCCCGACCCAGCGGCTGACACGTCCCCAGTGTGGTGGAGAAAAACCGGCTTGCACTCGTTGCCAACGCCGAGGTATCGAATGTGCCTATGCAGTTGACGAAGACCACCGCGGAACAGCTCCCAAATCCTATGTCCGGCTCCTCCAGTCGCGCATTCACTTGCTGGAGCAGGTGCTATGGCTTCATTCGATCGACCTCGACGCGTCAGTGGCCCAACTCATGGCGCAGTCGTCCAGTAATGGGCAGAGCAACGATATGCCCACCATGTCGTCTTCAGTGTCAGCTGGCATCTCGTCTTCTGAGTTCGATAAGCTGTGTTATGAATTTGAGGGCGCACTCATCCTCGACGACTCGGGGGACATCAATTGTGATGCCGAAGCCAGGTACTTTGGCCCGACAAGCGGGCGCCTCGAGCTGCCCGTCGCTCAGGGTATGGCCAGTTGTCATGTTCATGCGTAACGACACTAACACGAGCATAGAAAAGCCAGGTCAACTACTCAAGACACCAACAAAGCCGTTCGTCAGGGACATCTCAATGTTGAACGCCTACATTGTTGACGACTCTCTCATGCAGTTTCAGGATCTTTACGTGCCAGTGCAACCGTCCCCCAGCATCACCCCACCATCGCTCACCAGCCGTTCCCCTGCAGCGCCGACGCCAGAGACCTTGACGTCTGACGAGCTTCAGTCCCATCTGGTAGATCTCTATTTTGCGTGGGACAACCCGTGGCACAATATTCTGAACGAGGGTCGCTTTCGTCACGCCATGAAGCACAACACCAAGTGCTTTAGCCTCGTACTCTTGAACTCCGTGCTCGCTATGGGGTCTCGGTACTCGGACCGCGTCGATGTTCGCTCGGATCCAGCGGACGGGAACACGGCTGGTCAACCCTACCTGGAGATGGCTGAAAGGTTGATCCAGAAAGAACTCCAACACCCTCGGATCGCCACGGTCCAATCATTAGCCATCATGGGGGTGCTATACGCTGTAGGTTGTTCACACACACATTGCGCTGAGCAAAGCTTTTCTGATGCCTCACCAGGCCATGGGGAGAGACGCCTGTGGCTATTTGCACCAAGGCATGGCCAACCGCCTGGCCCTCGATATGGGTCTCAACATCGACCCGATCACACTGACGGGTTCACAATGCATGTCAGATGAGGATGCAAACAGCCGGAGACAGCTGTACTGGGCGCTCTATTGCTTGGATAAGCAATCTGCCATATATACGGGACGCGTTTGCACCATGCTGGTAGGTCGCATGCCTTCGCCCCTTCGTGTCGCACGCGACGCTGGCGTACAGAACCCTATACTGAACGATACCATGCAGGACTCGCAAGCCTGTGTTAATTACCCCTCAGGGCCAGAACTGGAGAGTTCCCTACCAACCCTCAAACAACCAGCCTACAAATCTCATACTCCTCTGCTGCGAGCTCTCAGTACATTGTCGCAGATGCTGGAGAAGGTTTTGCTGCACCTGTACGCCCCCGATCTTTGACATGCCGCACCCAACTCTCCCCAAGCTGCTGATAAAATAAACAGGTACTCGCCAAGAAGATCGAACCAGCAACCGAAACGAATAGCATTCTTTGACTGTTCCCGTTTGGCAATGAGAACATGGTACTACGCTTTACCGGCTGAGCTCAAAGTCGAACGCACCGACAACAATAACTACCCAGCAGCATACATGCTCGGGATGCTTTACCACACTTCCGTCATCCTCCTTGCCAAACCTTTCTTGAAAGCCCTCGACAGTGCCAATCCCACCATTGGCAACTTCCAAACCAACACCTCGCCTCCGTTGCCTCAACTGTCGGACCAAGAACGTGAAGCCATGCATTTGAAAGCGAAAGTCCTCTGCGACGACGCTGCCAGAGAGATCTGCGTTCTTGGAGCCAAGTATCGCAAGGTTTTTGGTAGCTTCCGGAAATGCCCGCCTACCGCGAACCACAGCATCCTCCAGGCCGCCCTCGTGACGCTGCAGATTCACACTCTGGCCGATGACCAGGCAAACAAGAGGGGCAAGTTGTCGCTCGAAAACTATCTTACAACTCTCAAAGAGCTCTCACAGTCATGGAGCCCTCCGAGGCGATATTGGTCAAGCGTCTCAAGGCTTGTACAGGCTCGGCTGAGCGCGGCCACGGGTGCGGCATCTGTCGCTCTCCTACATACAACAGAAGACGCGAACCCTACACAGCACGGCGAGGGCGTGTCCTCGAATGAGTTCATGGCTGCGCATGGGCCATCCTACAACGGCGATGATGCGGAAATGATACAAAACTGGATAGGTGCATTTTATGAGGAGGGTGGTCTCGAGGCGTACCTGAATAGTGGACCTGGCGACACCGTGGATGACCACCACATGTTCATGGACGTATTGCACGAGATGGGTCGCGAATCAAACACGACTGATTCGTCAAGAGACAACCATCAATAACGGCACGAGACTTTTGAGCCTGAAGGACACATGATACCGCATTCTGACAGCCTGGCTGGAAGCCAGCCGCGCGCTACCTTTACAATGCCTTCTGCCACCATGTACACCTCTCGTTGTCCCCAATATCGCGCACGGAGGTCCCATTAGTCAGAGACAAGATCGTTGCATTGTCTCCGTACAGAGGAATGAATGGCTGACCATTAATGTTCGGATCCCCCGTCTTCGCGAAAGACGTCAGGTAGAGCTGGAGTCTTGTCGCCAGGATAGGGTCGATTCCGACCGCGCCTTCGTTAAAAAATGTGTAGGCAATGTCAGTCCCATGGTGTCCGGCACCGACATCGAATAGATAGCCCCGAACAGTTTTGGCAAAGACCCTGCTGATGTACCTGTTATTGCAGCTGAACCACGAATTCGCCATGCGTGGCTTCGGAGCGTCCAAATTGCGAGGTCCAGGGATATGTACCGTCGTATATCTCGGGGTAAATACTCGTCTTGAGCTCCTGAAGAGCGTCAGCGCTGGCATCGGGGAATT